CACACACACACGATGCGCAAAACTCCGCATTTGAACAGTCAATAGCAAATACTTAAACTAATAACAAAACGGTAGCTGATTCAGAAGCGCCAGATTGTCATAGCAAAGTCAGAATTACCTCCTCTCCTAGGTTCACGAAACGGTCGTTCATAAAATGCATTGCTGTTCTGTTGTAAGTAATCTTAAAGATTCCTAAATGCATCTACTTTCGGAAGGCCAAATAAAGTGCTTTTGCTTTCGCCTAGAAACACACAGCGTCTCTCTGACATGGCTGCTTCAACACTAACTGCGGTTACTGAAACCACGCCTTCTTTCTTTGCGTGAACATTTGGGCGCATTATGCTAATATTTCCACATAGTGAGGTAGACATGTTAGACATGAGGTAGAGGTGTGTTAGAACGAGCCGTTTTAGGGGGGCGTGGCAGAGTCTTAAATTTGATAAAGAATATCTCTTTGGTTTTGAGAATTTAGTCTTTGCAACTTCAGGGATCTTATCTATGCACAATCAGCTTGTAACACTCCAAAGAGAAAGGAAAACTTGAAATCGCATCATATGACCCCTTTAAACCTCAATTCCATTCTAGGCTATGCATCTAAGGAGACTAATTCTGATCTTTTCGTGTACCAAGTTCATTATTACCTTTATTTTAAAGCATTGGAGTCACTGTTTTTGACCTTAAAGGTCCCATATTGTACACCTTTCTGGAGTTTTATTTGAGGTTTTGATGTCCTTAAGAATATATATTTGCGGTATAAGTACCAAAACCCATCTCAATATATTTTTTACAGCTCCTTTCTAAGGAGCTCTGCTGAGAACAGGTCGATTTTGGTCTGTCTAATTAATATTTATGAGCCTCTCTTCTGATTGGCCTGTTGTTTTCTGAGTGATGGCAAGGCCAACCACAGGTAACTAGGGTCAGCGACGTGACGGCGCTAGCTGGAGGCAGTAAAACACAGGGGAAACTGGAGTGTTCAACTGTGAACTGAACTGTGTTCAAACCAGCTCAGATTTGGCTACATAAGGAGCTTAAAATATCATCTTGTTGTGATGTTGGGTGCCAGAATCGACGTAATCTGGTTTCGTGGTTAAATTTAACCTTTTCGACACATTTCGGTGTTGTCCTTGCTCAGCAAAAGCATGGACGCGATGTTGTCTGGGGGTTTGGCAAAAGGAGAGTGGGGCGGTGCTCGGGGTGGTGACTGAAGGCGGTGCTCGGGGTGGTGACTGAAGGCGGTGCTCGGGGTGGTGACTGAATACACCTTATTCTTGTCAAATAGGTCTACATATTTTTCATATTTTAAAACTATATTTACATTGAATGACCTTTTTTTTTTTAAATTAGTGTCATTACTGTCGTCCATACTGCTGCTGATATAGTTGCTCTTGTGTTTTTAAATCCCTAAAATCTTTTAATTCCCTGTTTTTATTCCTGTATTTTTTTTTAAAGAAAATAAATGGGACATGTTACTTTTCTCATCGCTTTTAAGTAGGGACCAATCACCAGTTTCCATTTTTTAAATAAAGACATTACCATGGACACCTTATTCTTGTCAAATAGGTCTACATATTTTTCATATTTTAAAACTATATTTACATTGAATGACCATTTTTTAAAAAATTAGTGTAATTACTGTCGTCCATACTGCTGCTGATATAGTTGCTCTTGTGTTTTTAAATCCCTAAAATCTTTTAATTCCCTGTTTTTATTCCTGTATTTTTTTTTTAAGAAAATAAATGGGACATGTTACCTTTCTCATCGCTTTTAAGTAGGGACCAATCACCAGTTTCCATTTTTTAAATAAAGACATTACCATGGGTGGTTTTCATCCGCAGGTCAGTTACCAGAGCTTCTCAACTAATAGATTTAAACTACTGTTACACATACTTGAAACAAAAAAAATAGTGTTGAGGTTTGAATGCAGTCAGGGATCCTCGATTCGGCGTAACTTCTACGCACGTTTGACGCTCTCCAGACTCCAGAGCGACCCGCCCATTCCCTTCCATTGGCTTTGGGCTCGAGATGGATTTGACGTACCAGAGCAGCAGAGGCTAAAGCGGATAGCCAAACAAGAGGCACAATATTTTGCTACACCTCAAAGCAGCCATGCACAAAGTGTCGGAAACGGATCTCCGCGGTGTTGTCGATTTTGAGGAGTAATATTCTCTCATTCGTCCAGTGTCAGTTGTCGATGAACTTCTAGCGACTATTAGGCGCTGTAAAAGGAAACAATAATAATCAAACGGCACGGAAGGAACACAAACACACAAGAAAAGCGTCTGCTCTACCCTTTTTCATCCATGCATGTCTCAACATTAGAGGTTTAAACACCATGTCCTGCTCTGGCAACCTCATTTGGGATGTGCGAAAACGCACTATTGGATGCACAGATCCATATGCGGTCAGGACAAATTATTTAGGTAAGAAACTACGACCAATATCACACCGTTGCACTTGAAAATCATCTGGGAGACTTGTTTACGAAGACTTTCTAGGTGACCGCTGTCATTTGAGCTTGTACACAGGACAGGGACACTGGTTAGAGATCATCTGACCTGTTACTCTGATGCTGATCTGTTTCCAGAACGACGTGTTATTGGTTACATTTAGATTCAGAATTCAAAGGAAATGTCCAGCTGATTTGTCTGGGAAGAGCTCTGTCTTAGATTGCATTGTGTTGATATTCAGATTTAAGAGGAAGTACTACAGTTGAATTGGCTACAGTTCTCTCCTTCCCTTTCTGCCTTGTGATGATTTCTGCTTATTTAAACTTATATTATTAAAATAGGCAAATGATGCATATCTCATTAAATATGCACAATTGCATATGATATCAAAAGTGAAATAGAAAACAGAAATGATGTGAAAACAGAAAATGCCACAAATGTTGTTATTGTTTAATGCCATCAATTCTTGATGAGTCCTTTGTTTAAATATGTTCCAAAATATATAAGCAAACGTGGCATATAAAAATGAACCATTTGTAAGATAAAGTGCCCAGAAAAATTATTCTGACAGTAAAGAACAATATAGTAGAAGAAGCAATATCTAAAAGTAGAAGGATCTACCTATCATGAGATATTAGTAGGCTTGTGTTTTTACAATTTACAGTATGTATGCATTCATTGAACGTCAGCACAAATCTTTATGGTAATGAAGGGAATCTTAGTGTGAACAGGTTGTTTAATCTTTCAAAACATACAAAACACAATTTTATTTGTTCATATGGGACAATTGCTGTTGTGGTTTAATAACTTTAGACACAGGGTTTCTTTTTTACATGGGTGACCTTGATGTTCCATCAAATTTCAAGGTTCTTGTATTGACAAACAGCACTAGCTCTTGATTTCTGACACAGAACATGTTGTGTTTCTGGAATGATTGTCAGTATTAAGTACAGATTAATATGGTTTGCGGAAATCTTTGATTTATTGCCGTAAAGGAAATGAAAATTAGCCACCTGGCTAAATCTGGCACGTTTTAACGTAGATTTTTATCTATTATTAATGTGTATTGTCCCTGATTAAATAAATAATAAAAAAAAATAATTAAATATATCGTTTAGCTCATATTTATTTTTTGATAGAGACCCTTAGTATTACCATATTAGGATTGTAAAATGTTTCCAAAAAAGTAAAATAAAATTCTGTCTTGGCGGACTTCAAAGTACACTTATGTAATAAAATCCACCTAGTCTGACCCAAATATGTATTTTAGACAATACAAGTTTAGCTCATTTCTTCTCTGTACCCTACGAATTGGATGCTGGATTCTGTGTGATTAATGGAGTGTGTCAATATGTTCAGTCTTTGGTGTCTGTGAGCTGTTTTACTCTGGATCTCACATTCAGATAGTGATGACAGCATATCGTTCAGAGTGTTCCGTATTTAGCTCGGCTCTCATTCATGTTATAAAGCCTGCCAATGCTTACGGTTAGAATCAGAGCAGCCAAAACAACAACACAGAGTATCTCTGTTTTATGCATTTGTGAATGGATTGAGAGTGGAATTTAACCTACATTGCTTTTGCATGAATTTTAAATTTTGCTTTCTGTTGGCAGACCATTTTCTGTGAGGTTGTACCATCAATGCATAGAGCAGTGTCATCTCAGGCTACTGCTGTTCTCCGGGCTCACACCATTGAAAATGGTTGACCTAAGTTTGGCACTTGCTATTTGTAGCTCCTTATTACACAGGCTGAAAATACAGCCATGGAAAGATCTGTCTTTTACCAGCCACACACAGATATCCGCTTGTCAGGAACAGAAACGTAAATTTTATACATGTTTCTTAATGCAAACAGTGTTGAATGTGAGTAGGTATAGTTATTGTACAGCACCAATATTTGGGCCTAAACCACAGTGTTTGCATGTCAAATAAATCTGAGGTATTTTTATAAGAGATTAGACAAACAAAAACAAAATAAGAACCAAATCAGGATGGTTGACATTACTACAATGGCGTATGACAGGATGTTTTCTGTCTTTGTACAGCAGCTCAGCAAATGCTGGAGGTAATGTAATAGTGTTCTGGCGTTTCTCCAAAGCAATGAAGATTTCAGCAGTCATTAACAATCATTCCAGCCTCCTCACTCACATAATATAGTTTCATGGATGCTTCAGCTTAGATTTACACCATAAATGAGCTTTCAGGTTTAGATTATTGTGCCTGTTATTCATATAAACTTAAAGTAAACTGTCTCTGATTGTGCTAGTCTCCGCTTAAAGGAACACTCCACTATTTTTGAACATAGGCTCATTTTCCAACTCCCCTAGAGTTAAACTGTTGAGTTTGACCATTTTCGAATCCATTCAGCCGATCTCCGGGTTTGGCGGTCGCACTTTTAGCTGTAGCTTAGCATAGATCATTGAATCTGATTAGACCGTTAGCATCTCGCTCAAAAATGACCATAGAGTTTCTATATTTTTCCTATTTAAAACTTGACTCTTCTGTAGTTACATCGTGTACTAAGACCGACGGAAAATGAAAAGTTGCTATTTTCTGTGCCGATATGGCTAGGAACTATACTCTCATTCTGGCGTAATAATCAAGGAACTTTGCTGCCGTACCATGGGTGCAGCAGGCGCAATTATATTAGGCAGCACCTGAAAATAGGCTAACTTCTGACAACATAACCAACGTGACCACCTGCTTACACAAGGAGCGTGCTGGGGACTATTTTCAGGCATTGCGTAATATCATTGCGCCTGCTGCACTCATGGTACTGCATGAGAATGAGAGTATAGTTCCTAGCCATATCGGCCTACAAAATCGCAACTTTAAATTTTTCGTCAGTCTTAGTACACGATGTAACTACAGAAGAGTCAAGTTTTAAATAGGAAAAATATAGAAACTCTTTGGTGCTAATCAAAGATGCTAACGGTCTAATCAGATTCAATGATCTATGCTAAGCTACAGCTAAAAGTGTGACCGCCAGACCCGGAGATCGGCTGAAGGGATTAGAAATTGGTGAAACTCAAGTGTTTAACTCTAGGGGAGTTGGAAAATGAGCCTATTTTCAAAAATAGTGGAGTGTTCCTTTAAGAGTGAATGCGACATATGCTGATCTTGTTTAAACTGAAAGGTATCATTTTGGCAATGTTGGTTGATTTCCAACCAAACTGTAAAGATAGTGGCAGCATCAACACATTGATGTTGTTTGTTTGAGTGGCCTGATATTTCAGCATTGGATCAACATATGTTCAAAAGTTTGGGGTTGGTAAGATTTTTAATGTTTTTGAAAGAAGTTTCTTATGCCCACCAAGGGTGCATTTATTTAATTAAATACATAAATGCATATTTTAATATATTTTAAAATGTAATTTATTCCTGTGATGGCAAAGCTGAATTTTCACCATAATTACTCCAGTCTTCAGTGTCACATCATCATTCATAATCAATGATCAAGAAGCCATTTTTATTTTTATCATTATTGAAAACAGTTGTGCTGCTTAATATTTATGTGGAAGCCATGGTACTTTTTTTCAGGATTTGTACAACATTTATTTGAAATATATTTTTTAATATGTGTTTACTAGGGCTGCACGATAAATTGCTTGCGATATTTAATGCACATCTTGTCAGTAAAGCCTTTCTGTAATCAGCGGTAAATCTCCATCACCTGCGGGCTTTCACATGGAGCAGCATTAACTACACAGAGCCGTTGTTCACTGACGAGCTGTGCAAAACCACGTTCATATTTGCACAATTTTTTGCGCAGCTCGTCGGTGAACAACGGCTCTGTGTAGTTAATACTGCTCCATGTGAAAGCCCGCAGGTGATGGAGATTTACCGCTGATTACAGAACCGGCTTTCTGACAAGATGCGCATTAAATATCGCTTGCGATTTATCGTGCAGCCCTAGTATTTACTGTCACTTCTAAATGTCCTTGCTGAATAAAGTATTAATTTTACTGGTGAATAAAGGTAGAAGATGGGGAGAAACCTGTTTGGAAACAGTCAGTTGTGCAGTTATGTTTGATGATGCTAGTGGCACAGAAACGACAGCTTTACAGTAAATGGCTGAATTAAATGTGTATTGAATGTGGGACAGGTCAAATATATGTTGTTATTCTCTTGTGTGAATTAACAGACAATGCAAATGACCTTGGACATGAAAATTGCCACAATAAAATTCATAATTTTTTTTCCCTCTATAGGCAGAAGAGAGTTCGTGCAACGACTGAAGCTCGAAGCCGTTCTCAGTGTGCACGATGGATGTGTAAGTCTTTAAAGTCTTTGTTTCACCTGAGGTGATGTCTCTAGTTGTGCCTGATGCTCTTGCCCCCAGCAGTCTTTTTTTTCCTTGATAAATGTGCCTGTAGGAGAATGTGTCTGTCTGGGTTATTTTGTCTCAGGGGAATCACTGTGCTTGTATTTTGTGTGAGTGTTGTGTGTGCGTCTCTTTCTGCCCACTTATCAGTGGCTCCTGTTCTTTATTTGTCAGTGATTTAAACTCAAATGCTGATAGGCATCAGGCAGCCATTGGGGACGTCATTTTGTCAGTGCAGCTTTACTGCTGGGACATCCAACAAAGCCATGTACTCTAATTGCAAGCCTCGCAAATGACACACACTCCAATATAACAATTAACAGGCTTTAACAAACTCGCAAAACCATGGTTGGAGCAGGTTTCAATTTGTTTGTGTCAGTGAAAATGATTCTGTATTTTGCTACTGTCTGGAAACGTCCCTCATACGGAGTATGATAGTAACACAGAAACACAGCAGGAAAAAATGGCAGCACTTTAATATGTCTACCGAGGACTGTTCACAAACAGATACAACACATCACCTTTGTAAAGCTCCTGCTGGTAGATGCCATAAATATACTGGATGCAATGAGCAAAAATGAGAGTCAAAAATATCTGTATATTATGTGTCAGTGTATTATGTATTCTGATGAAATACACTGTTTAAAAAGTTTTGGGTCAGTAAGATTTTTTTGTTGTTGTTGTTGAAAGAAATTAATTTGTTCAGTGCACTAAATGAATCAAAAGTGGCATTAAAGATTTGAGTAATTTTACAAAAAAATTTATTTCAAGCATACATATCTAGTTCTCTCCCTAAAAAGAACATTGTATTTGTGTCTTTATTGCTTTATAAAAGCTATTCCTATTTATAGATGTGAATAACACTGATGCAGAACCTGCACCTCAGATACGTTTTTATGAGGAAGCAGCCTCCAACCTTGATTTCTCAACCCACAGAGTGTGTGCGGTGAGGACGCTATTAGCATTAGGGCACGATTTCTTTCTGTTGCTATCAGAAGGCATTTTTGTGAGACAAAGACAACAAGCACACTACTTGTAAGTGCTGTTTGGATCTCTGCTTGGGTTCTGTTAGTAGCAGGGCTTCAAACTACTGTATACAATACATGTGAAGCAGGATTTTGAACCAATTAGATTTTTTTTTTGTGGGAGGAACTATTAAATAAAATATTAAAATAAATTATCAAATAAATGCAATTTGTTTTGATATTTTGCTGATTGAATGACAAGGTTTTTAATCTTTATTTGTGAAGACGCTGCAAGTGGTCCTTGAGAACCTAGAAAAAATATTTATACTTATAACTTATACATTATGTAACATATAATTTATACTTATAATGGTATACATGGTAAATGCAGTAACATTGATACTTTTAAAAAATATATATAGTTGCTAATTTCATTTAGTAAGGATGCATTAAATTGATCAAAAGTTCCAGTAAAGACTATTTATAATTTTACAAAAGATGTATGTTTGAAATAAATGCTGTTCTCTTGACCCTGTTTTTTGTACACCCTGAAAAAATGTTTCACAGTTTCCACAAAAATATTAAGCAGCACAACTGTTTTCAACAGTGATGATAATATATGTTTCTTGAGCACCAAAAAAGAGCACCAGAAATCATATTACAATGTTTTCTGAAGAATAATGTAAATCAGAAGACTAGACTAATGGCTGCTGAAAATTCAGCTTTGCCATCATGGGAATAAATTACATTTTAAAATGTATTAAAATAGAAAACAGTTATTTTAATTGATTATTTTGCTGATTGAATGACAAGGTTTTTAATCTTTATTTGTGAAGACGCTGCAAGTGGTCCTTGAGAACCTAGAAAAAATATTTATACTTATAACTTATACATTATGTAACATATAATTTATACTTATAATGGTATACATGGTAAATGCAGTAACATTGATACTTTAAAAAAAAAAAATATAGTTGCTAATTTCATTTAGTAAGGATGCATTAAATTGATCAAAAGTTCCAGTAAAGACTATTTATAATTTTACAAAAGATGTATGTTTGAAATAAATGCTGTTCTCTTGACCCTGTTTTTTGTACACCCTGAAAAAATGTTTCACAGTTTCCACAAAAATATTAAGCAGCACAACTGTTTTCAACAGTGATGATAATATATGTTTCTTGAGCACCAAAAAAGAGCACCAGAAATCATATTACAATGTTTTCTGAAGAATAATGTAAATCAGAAGACTAGACTAATGGCTGCTGAAAATTCAGCTTTGCCATCATGGGAATAAATTACATTTTAAAATGTATTAAAATAGAAAACAGTTATTTTAATTGATTATATTTATATTATGCAGCCTTGGTAAGCACAAGACTTCTTTCAAAAACATTTAAAAGGGTTCTTCCCCTTTTGAACTTTGATTATATTCCAAATAATACTCTCAATCAATCATATATCTAAAAAAACAGAACTGTTCTTTCTATTTGACCTTCGTGTTTGATTTACTAATGTTTATTTAAAGATTTCCTGATAACATCTAGTTTTCAGTTACTATCCACATATTTATTCCTCTCTCCCTCTTTGTCATTGCCCACTTTCTCTCTTTCTACGCTCTCTCTTATCAGGACATTTTGATTAATTGCCGGAGAGCCGCGACCTCAATATCCATTTGCCCCCTGGTCCCCTACTATCTCGCTGTGGGCTGCTCAGATAGCTCAGTGAGGATCTATGACAGAAGAATGCTGGGAACAAGAGCTACAGGTGAGAAATAGTTCATGTTCAGCATTTCAGCCTTTTATTCTTTTATTCTCCATGTGATTTAATGATCTTTTATATTTAGCATTTGGAATCATTTATGGATCTGTGTCCTTTCTGGTTTGATTACTGCAATGAGAGGTCTTAAACTTTCAGAACTCATTTGAGAAGAATAGCCCACATATTCAAGTTCCCCTAAAAAATACTTCACAGCCTCTGGATCTACAAAACATTTGTTCCTCCATTAAACTAGAAAAAGCCCAACATTTTAAATGCTTTCTTCAAATGATCTTGAAAAGGTTTCTCTGTTTCACTAGGTAACTACATGGGCAGAGGGACGATCGGCATGTGTGTACGTTTCGTCCCAGCGCACCTGTCCACCAAATCCTGCCGCGTCACCTCTCTGTGTTACAGTGAAGATGGACAAGAAGTGCTGGTCAGTTACTCCTCTGACTACATCTACCTGTTTGACCCCAAAGTTGACCAGGCCAGGGAGCTCAAGGGCCCTTCTGAAGAGCGGCGAGAGGAGGTAAGCAGTTATAAGGAGGATGTTCTTTGGCCATTTTTACACTAGAGCTTGGTGAGCAAATGATGAGAGCAGAGCCTGCATTGACTGAAATATTTCTGTCATGTAATTTTCTGATATTTTAAAAACATCTCTGTATAATTCAAAATGCATTACATCATTTAGGCCTAGATAAAAACAGATCAAAAGTAAAATAAAGTATTGTTTCCTTACTTCAGAAACATTCCCTTAGTATAGGAAGGTAATAGAGATTAAAAGTGAAGAAAAAGATTTAAAGCACTCTTTGAAAATATTGACAGATGGAAAGATGTGTGTATTGAAATGAGAGACTCCAAGTGTAGACCAGTGGAATAATTCATGGGAAATTGTTAATTAAATTGGATGACCAGATCACAAGAATACAGTGTCTCTTGTCATTTTACCGTTGTGAGAGCAGAACAAAAAGGAGAAACCCAAGAATCTGCAACACAGCGCTTGACAAGACTCCAACAGCTCTTGCCATAGTTCTTGTGATATCAGTGCGTGCTACATTAAAAATACCCAACATTTCAAAATGTAACCATATCATGGGTAACTTGAGGTTTGATATAAATGCATTGATTTAAACTAACCTTTTAATTTTGCAAATCGAACGTTTTCATACTGAATTAAAGGAACTGTTCACCCAAAAATGAAAATTTGTCCAAAATTGACTCGCCATTCAAGATGTAGATGAGTTTGTTTCTTCACTGGATCAAAAAATTTAGAAATTTAACATTATATCTCTTGAGCTCCAGTGGATTCTCTGCAGTGAATGGGTGCCGTCAGAAACAAAAACATCATAATAATCCACATGTAATCCACACAAGTCCAGTCCATCAGTTAACGTTTTGTGAGGCAAAAAGCTGTGTTTGTAATAAACAAATCCATCTTTAAGGTGTTTAAACCATTGCCAGTCCATAATCCTATAATAAAATGCCAGTCATAATCCATAATAATGCTTCCTCCAGTGAAAAAGTTCATCCCTTGTTGTCCTCTCACATCAAAATCCACCAACATATTCAATTCAAGTTTAATTCAATTCAAGCTTGTTTGTACAGCGCTTTTCACGATACAAATCATTGCAAATTAAGCAAATTAAGTTTCTACAATATTTAGTGGTAGCTTATCAGTGGTGACTGTCAGTTAATGTACATATGGCAGAAATGTACGGAAAAATCAATTAAAGACGTAATCAAACAGACGATGAACACTATTAACAGCAATTATTATATGATGCAATCAAACTTATAGCAAAATGTGGTAGTTCTGTAAGTTGTTTCAGGGTTGGCATCATCTGAGGTCCTCTGAGGGGTTGGCATCATCTCTTCTCAGGTGTTCTGGATCCAGACTGAAGCTTGTGTAAATCCTAGTTAC